TGACACTTGCAGAACCTAATTATTTACCTTGATAATCAAATGTAGTGTAGTTAATGAATTTACTTCTATAATCAGCTTCTGAATATTTTTTTACATTATTACTTCTAATTATTTTAGACATAGATAACTCAAGTAGAATATTTTCATCATTTTGCCATTTAGTAAAAATTTCACAGAGGTTTTCTGCTGACGGTCGTTTTTCTGGTTCTCTTTCCCAGCATTCTTTCATTAAATTTGTATAGCATTGCGGTGTATTTTCTAAAATTTCTGGTCGTAAATCTTTATAACATATTTTTGTTTGAAGTTCTGGTCCAATTTTTTGGTCATAAGCAACCGGTTGACCATATAAAATTTCCCACATAATTATACCAAATGAATAAATATCTGATGATAATGTATATCCTCCTGTTAAAACTTCTGGTGCCATGTATGGTAGAACTCCATAAACCCCAATAGGCCCTGCCTCAAGTTCTATATTAGATGATATAGAAAGTCCTAAATCAGCAATATATGCACTATGTAAAGTGTCCTGTAAGATATTGCCACTATGTAAATCTCGATGAATAATTTTTTGTGAATGAATTATTTGAAGATCTGATGCAATACAATGAAGTAAATTTAACTTATCTTTCCATTTCAATTCTAATATTTGGTGAAGATTTTCACGCAATGATCCTAATTGAGCAAGTTTTAAAACAAGGATATGGTTTCCAGAATAATCTTTTGATATCCCATAACATTGTAAAAATGATGGATTTTCACAATTAATATCACAATATGCTTTTAACTGCAAAATTAAAAAATATTAATATTAAATATTAAAATGTAAATCATCTGAAAAAATAAAATAATTTTAATTAAATTACTTCTTCATAAAAATATTTTGATTTATTGAGTAGTTTAAGTGCTACATATGTATTAAGATCATAATTTTTATCTAACCATCCAGCCTTATATACTGTTGCAAAACCTCCACGCCCTATTTTTTTAATTTCTTTGAATTCATTGTAAGGGATCCACGATAAATTAATCTTATTTTCTTTAAAAAGTTTTCTTAAATTATCATCGATGTCATCTTCGTATGTTTTTTCATTTGTTGCTAAAAATTTTTAACATTTAGAGCGTGAAAATAAAAATCATATGATAGAAAAAATTACCTGACGATCCCAGCTTTCCTCTATTGATAATGTAATTTAAATACAAAAATTCCAAAAATATAAAAAGCAAAGATATAAAACATCATGATATTTACTTTCGATACCACATATTGGCTTTCTTTAAGTCTCTTGTAGTTCCAACTCCATTTCGATAGCAATATCCAAGATACATCATTCCTAAATTATTCCCCATCTCAGCAGACTTTTGAAAATAATCAAATGCTTCATAATTGTTAATCTCAACTCCTAATCCGCGTAGATAACAAAACGCAAGTTGAATTATTCCATTAGCATTATCCATATCAGCAGATTTTTGAAAACAAATGAATGCCTTATGTAGATTCATTTCAACTCCAATTCCATTGTCATAACAATATCCAAGATTGTATATTCCGATAGAATTACCCATATCAGCAGATTTTTGATGATAAATGAATGCCTTATGTTCATCCTTTTCAACTCCAATTCCTTCTCTGTAACAATATCCAAGACTATTCATTCCGCTAGAATTACCCATATAAGCAGATTTTTGATAATAAATGAATGCCTTATGTTCATTCTTTTCGACTCCAGCACCATTTTGATAACAATATCCAAGACTGTCCATTCCGTTAGAATTACCCATATCAGCAGATTTTTGATAATAAATGAATGCCTTATGTTCATCCTTTTCAACTCCAATTCCTTCTTTGTAACAATCTCCAAGACTGTCTATTCCGTTAGAATTACTCATATCAGCAGATTTTTGAAAATAAATGAATGCCTTATGTTCATCCTTTTCAACTCCAATTCCTTTTTGATAACAATATCCAAGACTATTCATTCCTATTGCATGGCCCATTTCTGCCGATTTTTGATAATGAATGAATGCCTTATGTTCATCTTTTTTGACTCCAATTCCATCTCGATAACAACAACCGAGGGAATTAATTCCATAAGAATCTCCCATGTCTGCTGATTTTTGATAATAGATAAACGTTTTATTATAGTCTTTTTCAACTCCAATCCCATATTCATAACAAAAACCAAGATTAACTATTCCGATGGAATTTCCCATCTCTGCTGCTTTTTGATAATGAATAAATGCTTTATGATTATCATTTTTAATCCATTTTCCAAATCGATAACAATATGCAAGGATATTTTGAATTATAGAATTTGTTTGAACAATGGGATTTGTTTGGTTGTTTAAACATAGATCAATTATTTCTTCTGGCCTTTTCTGCTTGTTTGTAAAATGGTTATTTATGGAGCAAAGAATTGAGCCTATATGATTTCCTTTCATAACTTCTTTATTATATAAGTCACATAATTCTTCGATAATACTATTTAGATAATCTTGTGAACCATGCAATGATAAATCTGCCTGTTTTGAGGCATTGACAACTAAACCATCATTATGATTTGTAAACGAATTATTGCAAATGTATTCTTCGTTTGACATTATTTTAGACTGTATGATTAAAATTTTATTGTGTACCGAGAGTGTTCGGGTTAAGAATGCGCTTATCTACAATTGTCAGTAATTAAATAATTCTTAGTTACACGAATATTCTGTATTAAGATTTTGACTTACAAATGGATGAATTACACAACATAACCAAGCTTTACAGTATACTGTATAATACGTATGCTTCAATAAAGTGTTTATTCACCAAAATTACCGTCACTATTTAACGAATAGTACATCCCAGTTTTATTACAAATTATTTTATAATGACTTTTCTGATTTACTATTTCATATTAAATTATTATAGCAAATAATATTTTCATTTCGCATCATTTATTTTGTATATTCGAATTCTATAACTATTTATGCTCTATGAAACGTATAATTAAAAGGTAGGATTGTTAAATGTCACATATGCTAATATAAAAAATTCTAATGGTTGGGACTTTATGCATAGCTTATATATGAGTGACGAAAAGGGAAAACCTGTAAATTATTTCATTCTTATCTCGATAATGAGTGAAATGATTTACAGGTCGTCCCTTTTCGTCACTCATTTAAGATGGGTGTTGTCAAATTAAAACAAATAATTGATTGATCTTAGAAATAAGCCTAAGCATTATAATTTTTAATATTAAAATATGTAAAACTTAACGGCGTTACTTTTTTAAATATATGTTTCATAAAGCATAAACAGTTTACAGAATTCAAAAATATAAAATACTTTAGGAGAAACAAAGATATCACTTTCCTATAATGATTTAATAGGAATTAGTTAATTGGTAAAAAAAAATTTATTAGAGGTAGTTTGCACTATGTTTGTGATAAAACAATATGAAATACCCGTTAACGTATGTTTACAATAATTCAGTCAGGTGCAATTTCTGATTCCTGGAATAATAGCATGAATTCAGGCAAAAGGCAATCTATTTTTTATTGAAGTACAACTTTTGGCAAACTAGTTTTACGTTTTAAATTCTACAGGTCCATAAAATTCTAAATTTAAACCTCAAAACTTTCCAAACTTTAAATCTATATATTTTTTAGCAACAAACCAATTTCGATATCTGAGGGCATTTTAAAATCTCACAGGGTTGTCAAATTCTAAAATGGCATCAAAAAATCGAAAATTGGTAAATAGTACCAAAGTATCTTCATTAGATATTTAGAAAATATAACAATAGCTTTATAGTAGTTTGAATCTTTGTAAAATGATTTCAGCAAAAATTTACAGTAATTACTACGTTTGAAAACATTTTAGAATTCTACAGACCTGTAGTATTGAGGTGCTTTTAAACCCAAAATTTAATTCTTGGCTAAAATTCTCGCCAAGTTTAGTCAAAAAAAAAGAAAACATGTAACCTGCTTATTTGACAAACGAACTTTAAGATAGGTCCTTGCCTTCATTTTTATTAATAGTTATAACATCTTACAATATATTACACGGATTAAAGCTCAATCTAAACCTATTATTACTCTTAAATCGTTATAAGATCTTCAAAATATTATGACAACTATAAAATCGAAAAATTACAAGATGTCTAGTATAACCACTTTAATATTAAAGAATATAATTATAGTGTTGCTTATTGTGTATTCAAATAATTTGACCGTCTTTTCATTTTAGAAATAAGCTTTTTATAAACTTTTATCGTCCATGAATTGTATGGTTCAATTTCTAATGATTTAGATAAATCTATAAGTGATTCATCATATTTTCCTAATATTAGATAAATTAAACCTCTATTACCCAATGCAAATGCATTATTTGGACCGATAGTTAATGATTTAGTTAAATCCGAAATTGCTTCATCATATTTTTCCATCATTCGATAATTTGCACCTCTAACCCTTAGTGTAAATTCATCATCCGGTTCAAGTTCTAAAGATTTATTTAAATCGGCAAGAGCTTCATCATGTTTGTTCATCATATAATAAGTTGCACCTCGATTATCCAGCGCAAAAGCATTATCAGGTTCAAATTCTAAAGATTTATTTAAATCCACAAGTGCTTCATCATATTTGCCTATCAGATAATAAGTAGCACCACGATATCTTAAAGCAAATGCATCATTTGGAACCATTTCCAAAGATTTGTTTAAATCAAAAAGAGCTTCTTCATATTTATCAAACATATGGTAAGCTACACCTCGACTTAATAATGTATGAGAATTATTTTGATCAAATTCTAAAGATTTAGTTAAATCTATAAGAGCATTTTTATATCTTCCCATAACTAAATGATCTTCACCACGTTGTTTTAATTCAGAAGCATTAATTTCAGGTATAGAAGTGGTTTGAGAAGGCAACGATATTGGTAAAAGATTACGAGGAGGTAAACCGACAGATTTAGTAACGTCTTGGCTTGGAGTCATAATATTCTTTTCAATATCGGCCCATAAAGTTGGATCAAGAATTTTTTGATAAGGACGAATTTTATCAGAGATATCTTTAGCAGAAATTTGAAAATAACGGATTAGAGGAAGACAATTTTTAAGAGTATCTTTCATAGCAGAGAAGTTCGAGTTGGACCATTGATCAAGGTTAGGAGGTAAAGAAGGATTTTGAGCAATTCCCCATTTAATAATATAATCCCAAATTAAACATTCATCTATTTGTAAATTATCGAATTTTAAGATAAAATTTAGGTAACTCTCAGAAAGAGGAATAAAGTTATTAGAATTAAAAATAATATACGGATATTTAATAATAATATTAGTACATAATTGTTCAGGAACTTTAAAACAATCCAATTTAAAATCAGATTGATAAAGACGAGAAAAATTCAAATGTAACCAGGAAGCATGATTCTCAATTAAGAAAAATTGAGTATACATAACCAATTCATCGAGACCAAAGTTATTTGAAGCAATTAAAAGGTCAAGAAGAATAAGAACGTTAATATTTTCTAATGAAACAATGCCACTGTAAATATACCTACATAATTTAAATTAATTAAAAAAAAGCACCAAGCTTTTACATAATTATTAATTGTTTATGATTACTTACTTGATGATAATATCAAATACATTAACAGGAACATTGATATTTTTAATTATTTTTATATTATTTTCATAAGCAGTTTTACTTAATTCATTTTTAAAATATGAACACCGAGAATTTAGAATAATAGAATGTGCTTTGAATATCTGCTTATTTGGAGCTTCACCAACTTCAATAATGACATTGTATTCGTCATTATCTAAAAGAAGGTTGCTCAAGTTATTAGAAAGTTTTTCAAAAAATCTAGTAGTCATTGATACGTATGTATCGATGTCGATACAGTATTAAGTTTATATCTATGTATATAATAGGATAATTTTCATAAGATTGGATTTTATTTCTGTCGCACATAAAGTCATTTGATCAATTGTTATCCAAATATGTAATTAATTTATGAAGATCCTTTTCAAAAATGGTTACTGTTACATTTATCAGATACGTCGTATCTAGCGAGTCACAATTGATAATCAGGTCGAGCAACTTTTAATCAAAATTTTTTTTTTTTTTTTTTTTTTTTTTGAATTTACCTTAAGATATAAGGTGCGCTTATGGCGCTTTATTTAATATGTGCACTAATATTTATTATTTACAATTTTTTGAGAAATTTTAAGGTCGGTTGAAGACCTTTATTTACAATATATGGAAGGTGTTGGAGAACAGTAAGTTCTCTATTTAGATGATTTGTAATAATGGTTGGGATATTGGAGGTATTTATTGTATTGTTACCTCATTTAGATGAGGTGTACAAACACCATACTTCATAGACTATGTTAATGTTTAACCATTTGATAGCTCTTTTAGTGCATGTTGAGAGAAGTTGGTTAGGGAGAATAATATCTTTGAGAGAAGTGGGTATTGTTATATTAGAAAAGTTGTTTAGCATCCGATAGCCTAAGTTCCAAACTTGTTGACTGATCGGACAGTCAAGAATAAAGTATTCAATAGTTTGAAGTTTTCCCTCACATCACATGCAGTTACCATTATTCGTTGCAAACATGTTTCTTAAGCGATAACCTAGTAGAAGGGCTCTGTGAAGAAGCCACCAAAGGATATCTGTTCTTTTGTTAGGTATTCAATTACAATGAAGTGAAGTTGTCACTTCAGGATATTCCTTAAGTAAATTATTTTGTGTAGTTAATAGAGTTATTGATTTGTTTCTGAGAAAGTGAATTGTTTTTTTAACAGTATACTTATTTCCTTGTTCATGTGCTATTAATAAGGATTCAGGGGTCCAAGGCCATGGGTCCTTATTTTTATCTATTGATCCTTCTACTTTTTTCCAGGCCTTGAGATAAGGTTTCCATCTATCTGGTCAGGATTTTGTTCTTATTGGATTAGAAGATAATGCTACGTTTATTGAGATTCCTCTAATTTTAGACATTTGTTGTGTTATAATATCTCTTTCTATTTTTGACCATAAATAATTTCCTGTTATAAGTTTGATCCAAGTATTGATCATGCGTGCTGCTAAGATATCTGTGAGAACAAGGGCTTGTAAGCCATATGTAGAATATGCCTGTTGAAATATTGAGTATCTCAGTAAAGTATTTGAATTGCATTTGATACTTTTCATTATAATATTGTTAAGTTCCGAGATTTGTTTACCTGAAGGGGGCAAGAGGGTAGCTATATACCAAATACGAGAAATGACCAGTGTATTAATAATAAGAATGCGACCCCTAAGGGATAGGTTTTGTGTGGATATGTTGTCTAGAGATTGTTTTAATTTCTGAATAGTATTGGGCCAGAGAGATTTGGGTGCGTAACCCTTACTATTTATAGGATAACCAAGTATTGTGACTGTATCATTATGTTTAAGAGATTTAAAATCTTTTATTTCTGGAAGTGTTATACTTTTTGCTTTTTCTGTAAGAGGAACTTGTATAGATTTATGTTTGTTTACTCGTGCATTAGAGGCTTTTTCATATAACGTTAAGATTTCATTGAAGACAAGCCAGTCTGTAGTTGAGCCCAGTCCTATGGTTAGATCATCAGCATAGGCCGCTGCTCTGAATGAATAGTTCCATATAGTGATACCTTAAATTTTGTTAGTAAGTTTTTGCAAAAATGGTTCAAATGCTAGAAGATATAATAGAGGTGAGAGGGGATCTTCATGACGCACACCTCTGTTTATATCAAATGGTTCTGAGAGTATTCCATTATCTATAATATGTGCATGCTGTTTTTTAAAAAGGTTTGCAATTATTGATATAAAGGTAGAGAAAAAGCCCATTCGCTGTAAAGTTAGTACAAGAAAGTTGTGATTTACTCGATCAAAAGCTTTCTGCTGATCTATGAACATCATCCAACTAGGAATATTTTGATCTGCAATATTTCTCATTGTAGTAATTATATCGAGTGCAGTATCTGAAATAGATCTTCCTGCAATAAAACCTTGTTGGTGCAAACCAATTATTTCATGACATATTGGGTTTAAGCGATTTGCCAAAATTTTCATAAAAATTTTTGCATCGCAATTTACTAAGGAGATTGGTCTCTAATTATTAACATTTTTTGGATCATCTAATTTTTTTGGAATAAGAATAATAAGGTTTTTGTACCAGGAATTTGGAAGTTCTCCAGAGTTAAGCGCTTTGTTAAAAATTTTAGTTAAAATAGGAGTTATGATTTTGCTGTATCTTTATAAAATTCATATGTGAACCTGTCCGCACCAGGGGTTTTATAATTAGATAAATGCTGGATTATTTCTATTACTTCCTTATCTGTTATTTGTTTTGTCAATATTATATTTTGGTCTGATGTAACTTGCTTGAGGTTGGTGGTTAAAATATTAGCTGCGCTTAGGTCAAAATTCTCCTTTTGATAAATTTCTTTATAAGTTTCTCGAATATAATGTAAAACTTTACTTGAATTCTTTTCCTGGGGTGTATTTGGAATTTGAATTTTTGTAGTAGCTGAGTATAGGTGTTTTTGTTTGTATTTAGTAAAAAAGTATTTTGTGGATTTTTCTCCACTCTCTATTCAATGAGTTTTTGATCTAATTTGCCATTTTTCAGCAAGAAATTCTAATTTCTGCTGAAGCCATATAGTGAGTTGTATTTTTAGAAAGTGAAGGTCATTACGATCTGGGTTATTTGCTAATTTAGTATTTATATTATTTATTCATTGATTGAGTTTATTTATTTGCAATTCAGGAGTATGTGGTAATCGAAATGCTTGAAATATCAATTGAATTCTCAATTTATATAAATCCCAAATTTCTTCATTTGCTTCTTTTAATTCTGTTATAACTTCATTTTTTATATGTTGATTTAACATCTGCCTTCTGTTATATTTCCATAAAGGTGACGATGGAATATTGTTGCTGAAATCTAATGTACATTCTACTAATTGATGGTCCGAATTGCTATATCTTGTATTAATCAATTGGCAAACACTTGTATATTCCTCCTGTATAAGTATATAATCAAGTTTGGTTGCCATTACATTACCATTTTGTGTATTTTTATAAAAGGTAAAGAAGGGATGTATCCCTATATGAGTGGCTATATCAATAAAATTTTGCAGTTTTTGTTTTAAGACTTGATGTGAAGGGTTATTATGTGGTAGTGTTTGACTAATTCGATCTAATGTAATGCTTAAGTTCGTGTTTAGGTCCCCTGCTATTATATTTATCGAATTAGATTCTGCTGTTGGGGACCAGTTATTAAAAAACTGTAGTCTTTCTTGTATACAAGGGGGAGTGTAAATGTTAGTTATACTAAATGTTCTTTGTTTAATTTTACATTGAGTTATAAGAATCCTGCCATCTTGTAATGCTTTGAAATTAGTAAATTTTATATATTTATTTCCTGCCAAGATTACTACTTTATCTGTCCAAATAAAATCATAATTCTATTGCTGTTTGATAAAATCATGTATTTCTTTATTTGTAAGGTTTGTCTCTTAAATAAGTATAATGTTACATTTATAAGATTTTAATAATATAAAAGTTTGCTGTCTTTTAGATCCATTATTAAGTCCTTTTACATTAAGAGTTGCAATTTTAATTTTCTGATTTACCATGTTAGTTAAATATTTAAGAAATATTACTTGAAGCGATTTTTGCCTAAAATTTTGCTCTGATTTGCATAAGGGATAGGTCGATTATTGTTGCGAATAATGTTGATACTTTTTTTATTTTTTCTTTTATTATTAACTAGTGTAAATGGTAACTCTTGATGAATGTCATCTGTGTCCATATTAGTAGTATTGTTATTTGTTGTATTTAAATTTTCATAGTTTTTCTTTTCTTGTAACAGAGTTTCAAGATCTGTGATGTGATTATCTGTTTCATTAATATCAAAATCAGATAATTCTTCCTGTTGGCTATCAAGTGTATTGTTTTGTATTATCGATTCTGTTTGACCTAAAATAGTTTTATCTTAAGTAGATTGATTTTGTTCATTTGTATCATTGTTTTCTGTCAACTGTTCGATTGTTGTAAGATCGATATTGTTGGTATCTGTATAGTTATGTAGTACTGAGTTTTCAAATGAACTTTTTTTATTTCTTTTATACAATTGGTATGCTGTTTTAATTTTTTGTACTTCCTTATACTGCTGACATTCTTTCTTGATATGGCCTTCAGCGTCACAGAAAAAACAAAGTTTGGGTGCCTCTCTCTATTCAGTAGTAACTTTTTGATCCATTATTGTTATAAACCTTGGTATCAATTTAGATATATCTGGATCATCAGAAATATCAAAAATCACTACCTATTGGTTACTTAATATTGAAGTGCCTTCGAATACTAGATAAAATTTTGCCTACATGTTGAATGTATTCTTAATTTCCTTTGTAATATCCTCTTAAAAATTGATTGGAACATTCTTGAGTTTAACTGATAAAAAAGAACTTCTTCTGTTGGTAGGAATATAGCCTAAGAAGGTATGACTAAACAAGCTAATTCCTTCTGCACTGTATTTCTGTATGTTTTCAGTAGATTTAAAAATAATTTCTAAATGCGTTCATATTTCTCTTGTAAAATGAGGTTTTATTCCAAGAATATCTTTGCCGATTCTTGTATTTAGAGATAATACAATCTCATTCATAGATAAATCATTAAGAGCACGAATTTCAAAGATTACGGCTCTATTATTTTTGGTACTAATTTGATCACATGCTGAATATGTAGAATATGTTGATGGGCCTCTTGTTAATTTGGGAAATAAGCTTGTCCAAGATCTTTTTTGATTATACTCTCTTGACTCACTATAAGGAGAGTCTTTGTTTCTGTATGGGTTGTCTTTATTTGTTGAGAAACTTGAAATAGGGCTTGTGTAATGAGTTACCGAATTTGTGTCAGTATCATATGTTTCCATATGTAAAAGATCTGTACGAGATTGCATTTGATCTGGGTCATCCAAGACCCGATTTTCTGTATTTTTAACTGCAAGCTCATTTCCTCTATCTAAATTTTTTTCATGAGTAATATCCAGAGAATTTTCCAGTTCACTAATACTCTTCATAACAGATGTACTAGGCTGTGTTTCAATTACTTCTTCAATTTCGTCTGCCCAATTTTCATTAAGATTATTGTTAGATGTTTGTCTTTGAGACACCTCGGCTTGTATGTTAGCAGCAAATATATTTGACTTTGCTAGAGGTAAAGTAGAGTTTTCTTTCTCCCCAGAAGGAGTCTTGGTTTCTGTTTGTTGCAATTTTTTCATTTTTCTGTTGCTATTTATTAATTGATTGTCTTCTTGTCTTTTACGTTTCTTTGACCTAAGGGCCACAGCCCTTGAAAGCACGTTTAGCTTTTCGTCTTTACTTTTTAGGTTTATGGCAATCGTTTAACCTGAAGCACCCGACCCTGGAAAAAGGAAGAGTGTCTGAAGATCCTTTTTTTTTAATCAATTTGAAAATAATTTTCTTGTTCGAATATTCTATTATCTTGCAAATATTATATATTCTATATGATTTGCACTAATTATATGCATGTGTCGTGCGTGATATTGCAAGTTTGCATTTGAAGTTGTATTAGCTGAAATTAACTCTTGAAATTAGATATTGTTGTAAACATTAGTTAGTTTAACTTTAGGAGCTTGAAGTTACAACTTCAAACAGATGCTAACTTTAAGTATGACACATATGCATACTGTAAGCTCACTTATTTCATGAATCAGTAAAAACGACTATTTGGATCACATTAGTATATTGATATTAATGTTATTGGAATCAACTTGGGTAGGATCACGTTCCCTTTAAAAATAAAGTAGCTACGCACTAGAAACCAGGAACGAAAGCAAATATAGTAGTTAACAAATAGTCCAAGTAACAGACAAACGAGGACTTATCTAGCATCTGACTCACATTAGACAATCAAGCAGAAGTTTACAAGGTTATTCAGAAAATTAGTTTGCTATTGCCCTTGACGATCATCAAATATTAAATATCATGTAAAAGACAAATTAACCTTTATTATTGCTCAATCAGAGCTTTATTAATATAAATATCGATGAAATAACATATGGGGATAGGTTCGCTATATTAGTCAGTACTAATACTAATTTACTCATATATGTAACAAGACTATAATAGGTATCAGGTTAGAGTTTCTCTTCTTGAGGATCACATAGCTATGGCGAGAATCGGTCGAGGAATGGAATGGTGCCTGGTGTATTTGCCTAGGGGTCTGGGTTATTTTATCAACAATCATTTTTTTGACACCTTAATTTGCTAACAATTTTTTTGCTGAAAAGATTATTTTATAGACATTTATTTTGTTGACAATTAATTTTACCTACAAGGTAAATTTA